TCTTCTATATTTATACATATTCTTCTTCTTTGTTTTATTCTGTGGTGGTGGAAATAGAACCCATGGCCTCACATATCCCAAGCAAGCACTCCACCAATGACCTACATCTCTATACTACAGGATACATGTATAATATTATTAAAACACTTCACCATCTTATTTATTATTATTTGATCCAAGCAGGATGAAGTATTTCTTATAAAGAGATAAGCCTAGCACAGTAAGATTGCATTAGAAAATTTTTTTCTTTCATTTTCATTTGTACCAGAAGCTTGATGCAAATCTAAAGCCCTTATATCCAAATACTCTGTTCATGCTTTTATGAAGTGTGATTTTCCTGATTTTAAGTCTCACAGATAGGTACTAACCTGACATATACAAGCCACTGAGCAGGAAAAAATAGTATTTTAAATAATGAGATTTAGCCATGGCTAAAGGGCAACACATCCAGGATTGTGGTATTTGATTGATTATTCACAAAGCAACAAAGAGAACCAAAATTGCTTAATTTAAAATGGGACAAAGTGAAGCTTATTTCCACCGGTAAACCTGTTTGAGTTATGAACCCATCTGCTCCTCTTTTATTTGTGACTTTTTGATGTATCCATAATTTATTTATCTCAGGACACACTGATATATCTGTAGAATCATTACTAAAACTCATCTAATTGTCTTTGAAATTAAATAAACCAATGAATGAGAGAAAAGATAGACTCAAGAGAGAACTACAGATGTAGCCAAAGTTGTTACTGAGTGGAAAATAAACTCCAAAATAAAGGATTTCTGTCAAATGATCAATAAAAATCATTGCATGCCTTATCAATCATTCATGAATCTAAATCCTCTAAATTTACATTCATAACTCTGTGAATTATATTGCATTCAGTTCTTGATAGGTTTCCTAATATTTCAATTATCTTTCAAAATGTCACAGAAGCAAAGGTCATTAAAAAATGTTTTATTTGCACCATTTCAAAGTGCAATCTTAGCTATCTAGAATTGATTCTAACAATTCAAAGTTGAGTTTCTTCAAAGCTTATTCCAACTAAAGTATAAATCTGCATTTTAGATATTACATGCATGGGTTGGAATTTGCCTTGTTCAACTTTAGTTAATTTCTCTTTAATTAACTTCTTGATTTTTTTTCTGGAACATTTACTTCTATTGCAAACCTTTCCCCAGTTTGCAGTGGTAGACTGAGCTCCAGAGCTGAGTCTGTGGTGAGTGTAGGTGGGAGCCTAAGCTGCACACCATGCTTATGGGCAAAACAATCCTATACCCTCAGGTAGAAAGATCTTTGGTCCAATCACTGATCTGCCACTCACTTACTAGGAGACTTTGTGCAAGTTACTAACTTTGTCTGAGTTTTAATTTCTTCATTAAAGAAAACATTCCCACTTCATAAAACATTATGCAAATCAATGAATCTATATTTTCAATATATATTTTCAGACTACTTTGAACAATTGCTGGCTTGATAATGCTTACTTAATGTTATTTTTTGTGTCTGGATGTCCCCCCAAAGGCTCATGCAGTCATGAGGTGGGCTTCTAGAGTTTTTGATTGATTCATGGCCCAATGCTGGGATTATGGGTGGGAGTGCTACACCTGCCTTGGGGCGGGTAGTCTGCATAAAATATAAGGGAGGGAAAGAGGCTTTGCTCCTTCCTTTTGCTCTTGTTGCTTTTGCTATCTTCCACCACCATGAATTGTTGCCCTCTGCCATGTGGTGCTCTGCCTCGTGGCCAGCCAAGTATGGACTGAAAACTCCACAGACTAGTGAGCTAAATAAACCTTTCCTTCCTTAATTCTGGATATCAGGTATTTTGCTTCAGCAATGAAAAAAAAATAACTAAGACAAAATTTGGTACCAACGGAGTTGGGTCATTGCTGTGACTATACCTGACCATATGGTTCAAGAGACTTTGGAAAATGGCTTGTGGGAAGTCTTTGCAAAGGTTTGAAGATTTCACCTGAAAAAGAAGTGCTAGAACACCTTCAGTTCTTTTGTATGGATGATTCTGGTCAGAGCTCAGAAGATCAGAAGGCTGATAGAAATCCTTCTGGTAGAGACTGGGTTTGGGAGATTTCTGCTGGGAAGAAGGATTGTATTGGTTGTTGGACTCCCGATGATGTGTGTCATGGCTTAGCAGAAAGTTTGTCTGTGTTTTTCTCATGTCCAGAGACTTTGCCTGAGACTGAGATTAATGGCAGAAGACTAATTAATCTGGCAAAAGAAATTTCAAGGCAGTCAAATGTTGGGACAGTAGCATGACATTTGCTGGGGACTTTTAGCCAGATCTAGGGTGAGAATCAAGAGCAAAGAGCCCATCAGATGACTTATATATTGTGAGTTTGGCCAGAAAGGAAGCTCCAGTAAAGCTGTGAACTGCAAAGACAGAGCTGAAGACATCTCAGTTGCTGAGAAGGAACAGGAGAATATAAAAGATGGCCTGAAGGCATCACAAGAAGCAGCAAGTCTCCACCCTTTGCAGCCTCAAAACTTGCAAAGGTGAAAGAGTTTACTTTGAGAAGAAAGCCACAAAGTGCCATGTTCCAAAATAGCATCAGCTGCACTACGGTAGCAGAAAACAGCAAAAGCAAAAGAGCAAAAGGGAGGAGCAGCAAGAGCAAACTTCCTTCCCTCCCATATATTGTATGCAAACTACCTGCTCCAGGGTGGGTGCAGCACTCACACCTATAATCCCAACATTGGACCAAGAATAACTCAAGAACTCTAGAAGCCCACCCCATGACTGCATGAGGCTTTGGGGGGACATCCAAATACAAATCATAAAATTCTGCCCCTGGGCCCCCAAAGATTCATGCATATTCCTTTATGTAAAAGACATTTTAGTCCATCTCTAAGAGTTACCAAATTTCTAACAGTTTCAGTATTGCTGAAGGGTCCAAGTCCCAAGTCTCCTCCAAGATTTAAGGCAAACTCTTAGCATGGGCCCCTGTACAAATGAAAAGTTAAACACTTCCAATATTCAATGGCACAAGATAAACATTATTATTCCAAAAGACACAAAAAAGAGGATATAAAGCACTGGGACCAAAGCAATATTGATCAATCAAGGACTCATTAACTGTTTCTTTCAGCAAAGACATAGAAGACAGTAGATCAACTATGTTAACTATTCTGTATATACATACATAGAAAATTTCTCCTTCTTTCCCTTCTCTTTTCCCACATCCCAGTTGCCCTTTACCCTTGAGTGTTTTCCTATCATTTCACAGTGTCTATCATACCTCCAAGTTTTAATTAAAAAACTTTCAGGTTTTACACTAGTGAGACAATGTGGTGCTTGCACATTCAGGTCTTCTTTATTTCACTTATGAGTATGGTCTCCCATTGTGACCATTTACCTATAAAAGCCTCGAGTTTATCTTTCTTTATAACTGAGTAATATTCCACTATATAAAAGCACCACAATTTTCTTATGCAATCCTCAGTGGATGGATATTTGGGTTGCTTCCACAATTTAGCAATTACAAATTGCGCTGCTATGAACACAGGTGCACATATATTGCTGTGATATGATGTTTTTAGATCTTCTGGGAAAATGCCCAGTAGGGGAATAGCTGGGTTGAATGGGACCTCTAGTCCTAGTTTGCTGAGGAATCTCCAAACTATTTTCCACAGTGGTTTCACCAGTCTGCATTCCCATCAGCAGTGGAGAAGAGTTCCTATTTCTCCACAGCCTCACCAGCGTTTGTTACTGGTTGATTTCTTAATGCTAGCCATTCTTACTGTGGTGAGATGAAATCTCAATGTTGTTTTAATTTGCATTTCTTGAATGATTAATGGTGTTGAACATTTTCTCATTGGACTAGAAAATTTTTAAAGTATTTTCCCATCTCAAACTTGTTTGCTATTCTAACTTCTTAAATTAGCTCTGTGTACCTCTTTTTCATATAACTTACCGAAAATTTTTCTTCCCTATCTTTTTAGATGTTAATCCTACCTTTCTGTAATATTGTTTTACACAAGCAGTACTGTATCTTATGTTACAGTTATTTTTCCAACAGCATTATGGAGCATTGTCTCACACACAGATTTTCTAAGTGTTAGTTCTGTTGCCAGTGTTTTTAAATTCCATAGACAGACTTCTCTCTCATCTTGTCAGAATCAATTAATTCAGATTAGGTGGACATTTTCATTAATCTTAGCAAGTAAAGGAGGTACTTTGGAATATTCAAGAAAAGATTCAGACAATGCTCTAAAAATTCTTTTTTATTTCAAAGGAAGAGTGTAGACACCAAAAACATCCTGCACACTAAATGGGCATTTATTTATTTTTTGGTCAAATTTGCTTCAAAATTCATAGAGTGACAGCTTTGAGCCAAAGGTATATTTTAATGACTTCCAGCTTCTCTTGAACAATGGGGAAAATCAAATGTTTTTTTCCTGATATTTTAAAAATACACACAAAAGATGTTGTCAGTGCTGATATAGAAGAAGCACGGGACCAACAGCAGGGTACAGGTGGATTCAAAGTAAAGTACAAACATTGCCAGGATAGACTAAATTCCAAAACAGCCTGACAGTCATCTTTTACAGAGTTGGAGGTGAAAATCTGAAATACTTTTCTACATCTGCACTTTCGCTGGAGGGTAGGGGGCTCCTCCTGGGCAGATTCTACAAAAAACTTAAGTGTTCATTCCTTTCTTCACCCATGTTTTCCACTATTTTAATCAATGGCAAGAGCAAGAAAAAAATCCATGTGACTGCCTAGGACATTCTCCTTTTCCCACACTGAAACTTTTGTCTGTAGAGCTTGTTTTAGACAATTCTGTGTGATATTTGGAAAGTGTTCTAACTTCGCTATAGCCAGCAGTGAGAAGTTAGTTTTCTGCCTGGCTGCCTGAGGCTTCTTCCACTCCCAGCGGTAGAGCTTCCCTCCTATACCTCAAGAAAGAAAGAGTTGTTGCAGAAGGAAAAGGAAATTTTACCTTTTTCATATTTCCACAAAAGTTCAGTGTCCACTTAAAAACAGAATCGCATTCTTCTATCAGGTGGTCAAATGGATGTGCATAGGCATCAATGCGACCATTCAGCTAAAAGAGAACGGAAATAGTGCTGCCAAGGCTGTTTGTGCAAATGCACCCTGGCCGAATCTTTTTGCTCGATACTCATCTTTGCCTTCCAGTGTTATCTACCTTTCAGCACGGAATCCATTTGGAGCCTGCCCTTTTGGGCACTCTAATTTTCCTCCATTTAACCTTTAAAAAATTGACAATTTTTCTCCTCTTTACAATTTTGTGACTTTTGAGTCTATAGAAACCAGGAAATAAAATGCCATTTCCTTTATCCAAATTAAAAATGAAAGAAATTTGAAAAGAAAACAGAAAGTGAATGTTGAACTGTCAAGATCATCCACATTAAAGCACTAGATAATGAAAGCAAAACAGACCATCAACTATAGGTCAGCTCTTATTTGCATCCAAGCATTTCTTTGAAATAATATGATGTGAGTATATTTTGCAAACTTCAAACTCCTCTTATTTTAAAGCCATCTTCTGAAACATTTTATATTTAGCATTTGTTTAATGAATGCTGATTTGCAGAAGCATGATAAGAGATACAAAGATAAGAGTTACAACCTTTAAAATATTATTATTCACAATATTTGTTTGGAAATACTGTGAAAGGTTTTCACAATTTATCAATCTAAGAATATTGAATTCAATTACACAGCAGTGAGCTGCATATTGAATAATAAGAATTTATGAAACATAAAACAGTTATATTTGGACACAAGTCGCATATAGTCTAAGAATGGAAAAGATATTTGAAAGTAGAACTGTCTTCTAGATTTCTAAAGACTCATTTGCCCAGGAATACAATGACTCTATGCATATGCATGGTTCTGGTTTTTACAAAGCCTTTTTTCAAACTACAAGCCCTGTCACAAAGTGGGACAGTTATTTAATGACAACAACAAAGGCATTGCTCATTGTCCAGTCCTCATGAGAACTCTCAGTAGAGACTCTGGTTCATTTTTGTCACACTTCAGCAATTACAAGTTACAGCATTTTTCCTCAAAAAATCACCATAAAGAAATATAGAATATTTGAAATATTATTATTGTAAATGTTAAAAATTAGTAACAATTAGCAGTATGTTGTGTAGCACAAGATATTAATAATCTGAGCCCTGCATATGAAAGAAACCATGTCTATAACCTAAGCTGCTACAATTTTTTTGTCCTCCCCAGTCATCCTTTTCCTACAGGGCTGAATTTTTCTTATCGTTATTTTGTATTTAAATCATCATGTTATTTCTTTTGCAGTGTTTTGAGCAGGCAAGTACCAGTGAGGTTAGAGAAAAGAGGAACTTCCCTGGAAAAGTACTTTCTTGTACTTGCTTGCAATTTTTATAGACTATAATATTTTAATACAACTCTCATATGAAATCAAAACTATTCTGTTTAACAGCTGACTGGTGTTTGGTGCTAACTTGATTCTTAACAGGAGTATTTAGACAATCTCTCTGTGTGGAGATAAAGAATTTTCTACAGGATCTCCTCACCAAGTTTTCCAGTTAATCGGCTTTCCCATAGATGGAACATAACACTGGCACCTGCCACTGAAAGAGGACAGTTTTAATTTGGCTCATGGTTTCAGAGGATTCAGTTTATGGTTGGCTAGCTCAAGGCAGAAACATCATGGCAGAAGGGTGTGGTGAAGCAAGACTGCTCAGCTTATGGTGGTCAGAAAACAGAGAAGAAGGACCCAGGGTCCGGATATATTACCTAGGGTCACCTGTCTATGATTCATCTAGACACATGCAGAAGTGTCATTTATTAATCCCATGAGCAGTTATCAAGCCAATCATGCTGGCAAACCAACTTAACTATCACATCTATGCACATATGTCATGACAAAAGTGCATACTTTAATAAATGATTAGCGTTTGACTAGTAGTTGGAGACTATACACACATCTGCTCATTCACACCTGAATGTGTGCACATACATACTGAAGCATAAATGTTCCCCTAGATCCCATTCTGTATAATTTCTCTCAAATAAAATTTTAGGTCCATAGAAATAGAACTAATTATGCGTTAGTATTACCTTTTTCTTTGGTACTTCAACATCATACAACCACCAGTGGCAACAAACATTTCTCAGGAACAAAAGTGATTTGGGGAAATATGGAAAACAGAAGAAAACAAAACCCCAAAATTCACCTGAGACATGGGAGTCTGGAAACCTAGAAAGACCTCAGTTACTGGAGGAAAATCAATTTGTTATGACACTGTTTTGAAAAAGGATTTGAGATCCATGTAACCTAATGATACACTGCTCCTGATATTTGTGCTTTAAGGATAACATTCTGTTGCAGAAGGAGAAATTTTAAAACCTTCAATGATTAATGAATAAAAGCTTCCCTATTAGGTGGTGTTATCTAACCTTCCTTGGTACCAGTTCTTATTTTCCTTGCTTCTTGTTGATAACATTAATGGAACACCTGATTGCTATATTGTTCTTACTAAAAAGCTTGCTCCTTTATGCTCCAATGAGTTAGAGAAACTTGATTCCTTTTCTTTTAGCCAAGTTATGGAAATGGTCTAGTAGAGTCTTTTATGACTATGTAAGGAATAATGAGCTGAGTCCTTTTTAGTGGCTGTTCCCTCAGCCTTTCTTAGGTGAATATGGATGGAAACTATGTCCTAGAGAAGTCTTGTTACCAAGTGTTTATTACATTTTATGTTTGCCTGTCATCATAATCCTTCATAATATGTTTAACCAATTAATTGCCACAACATCCAACCTTCTGAGGCTTAGAAAGGGACCCTTGATAGATTGAAAGAACTACAAATCTCTATTTGGGCAAAAAGGAGAGAGGATTTTGTTGTTATTAATTAGTCATATATTAATTTCATATTTATTAAGTGTTCACAATTTAATGTCAACAACCAAATGTACTTAGAGAGACATATTGGGTTGTTATGATCGTTTTATACACTGTGTATTGATGACTTGAGGGCAGTTTCTTGTTGAGGGAAGAGAATGTGAGGCAATGACTTTTGGGAACTTTCTGGGGTAGGGAAAGGGTTAGTAATTTCTTACTTTAAAGAAATTTCACATACCCTAACACTATGTTAATGTGTAGCCTTCAAGGTATTTGACCATCTGGCTCCCTCCACTCTTTCTACTTTATGTTCTTAGCAACTCAACTAAGCTCAAAAACTGTTCCTCAGTATATCCTGTACTATTTCTACCAATTGTAATGAATATATTGAGTGTGGTACTGTATTTTCTGTAATCTTCACCTTTATGAGGTAGAGACTATTAGTATCATTTCACAAATGAGAAAAATTGTTGAAGATTTAAGAAATTTGCTCAAGGTCACTTTGTTAGCAAAGGGCAGAGTCTGCGTTTCAACCTAAACTGCCTGACTGTAGAGGTCTATCTATGTTATTATCTCTCTTATTATCTATCTATCTATCCTCTATCTATCTATTTATCTATCATCTATCTACCCAACCATGATCTACTTACCTACCTATGCATCTACCTACATCATGTCTATGTCTATGTCTTCCTTCTCTCATCTGTCTAACTAGCTATCTAGCTATCAGAGTATGGAGAGACTTACTTTCACTTTACATATGGGAAGTTATTCTCAAATGTCTAATGATAGCTTTTTATTGGGTCACTACTCAAATTTGAGAGAGAGAGAGACACTGCAAACTGTCTGATAGCCCTCTGTACTTCTGTAGATTTGTTGATTGCTGGGTCCTTACAAGTTATTGAGGGAGTCAGTTTGTTCATAGATATCCAAATTCAGTAGCCCTGACTTTTCTCCCATGTTAGCATTTGAAACCAGGGCTTTATGTGTGCTAGGCAAGTTCTGTACTACTAAGCCATAACCCCAGCTGGTTCATTTCTTTTGAGCTCTTCTTTTGCTTAAGTGACACTATCTAGGGTGCCAGTGTTAAGGGTTCAAGTGTAAGGTACAAAGCGTTGCTTTTGAAAATGGCTATACGAGTTTAATCCCTCTGGTTCCAGGTCAGTGCCTGACACTTAATTGGAGCTTAGTGCTTACTCCACGCACACAGCTTCTTTGAATGAGGATGTTGACCGTACAGGGACAAGGAGAGTATCTGGAGGCCTTAACTGCTCCTAATACAAACCTCCACACAGTCTTGTTACTGTTAGCTCTATTCCTCTAATATTTAGAGCTGGCCAGGGAGCCTGCAACCTTGACTGGTTCATACCATCCAGCCCTGGTATTATGGTTGTGTCTGGATGTCCCTCCAAAGCCTCATGCAGTCATGGGGCAGGCTTCTAAAGTTTATGATTGATTCTTGAGTGTGAGTGCCACACCTGCCCTGGAGCGGATAGTTTGCATACAATGTAAGGGAGGGAAAGAGGCTGCTTTCCTCCGCTCCTCCCCTTGTGTACTTGTTGCCTTTGCTGTTTTCTGCCACCATGAACTGTTGCCCTCTGCCATGTGCCACTCTGCCTTGGAGCCAGTCGAGTATGGACCAAAACTTTCACAAACGGTGAGCTATATAAACCTTTCCTCCTTAGTTCTGGGTGTCGGGTATTTCGTCTTAGCAATGACAGAAAAGTAATCAAGACACCTGGAAATCCCTTTCTCTTAAAATATCTTCCACTTACTCCCACCAGGGTTGCAGGCCAGACATCTTTTCTGTCTGAAAACCCATCACACATTCTTCTCTCTCCATGAAGCCCTTGCTGGCTTCTGTGGTTTATTATCTCCAGTCGCACTTTTTGTGAAATATTCTATTCATGTTCTGTTATTCCCAAATAAATTCGGTTTCTTCTCAGGATTGCATTTAAAAAATATTCTTCATATTCCTTTCAGTATCTTGTTCATAATATTCAGCATATTGTGAGAACAACATCAACATTCAGGCAGTCATTGTTCATTCCTATAGTCATTATGGCAAAGGAAGGAAACTTTTCCCAGGAATTATACATTTTCATAGCTTTGCTTCATAATTAATTAACAATTAGGAGTAAGCTGCATAAATGATATGCTTTCTCATTTTTAAATGCCCACTTTATGTTAAATATACA